CGCCACGTACTTGATGCCAGGAGGCCCCTCCCCAGCTAAGAACACCTGGATTATGGTGCATACGTGCTATGTCACGTGACTCAGCCGCCACAGAGGGTAGAAGACCTTACTGGCCTGGAGTCCAAGCAGGCCCAGAGACAGCCCCTCCCTTGAGGTCAGCACCTCCATGGGGAACGCTTTCGGGCGACCGCAGTGGGGTCTGGAGGTGAGGACCTGGAGAACCACCAGCGGGGAGCAGGGGTGAGGCCGCTGTGGACAGTGTTCCTGTGCCGCTTGCTCCGCAGCTGCGGTAGGAGGGAGCATCAAGAAAGGCTGATGACGTGAGAAGGATCCAGAAAACAGGTGTTTCCTGTATACATTTCAGATGTGCTAAGCAGAGCCTGCAGAGGCCACGGGGACCCCCCGAGGCCGCTGTGCAGAGAGCCTCTCAGTTGCAGCCTTGTCTACCTTCCTGGGCCCCAGGCTGTGGCCCCAACTCCCCGATAGCCAGTCCTGTTTGGGTTGAGTGAGCACACCGGACAGATGTCAGGCCATTCAGAGCCCCCATCCTGAACATCACCTAAAGGCCTCCAGGATTTCAATATGCCCGATTAATTCCAGTTGGCATCAGATGACTGAGTTTTGCCTAGAATGTTCATTTTTACAAGCCGTCCTCATTGGTTTTATTTACAAAAACGAACAGAGGCCCCGGGATACAGACCAGATGAGCTGGCAGAGCTGTCCACGGTGGAAAAAAGTCCGTTTTTGTGGACATTGACTTGACGTATGCTTTTCCCTAAGCGCGGAGGCAGGAGGAGCCGCGCTAACGGCCGCCTGGCCCGTGTTCCATCTCGTTCTTCCTGATGCGTAAAAATGTGAAGAGAAAACACCGCACCCTCTCCTATCTCCCCTGCCTGACTCACGGGCTTCCACGCTGCTGATTGCTGGCTCAGCTAAAGCCGGGGGCCCGGCCCTTGGCCTCCGTTAGAGCCGTGCCGTGCAAACCAGGCAGCCTGAGCTGAATCTTCTCACTCATGTTCCTTTTCTTCCAGAAAAATGAGGAAGGGGGTCCCTCTTAGGCGATAAAAAGGTGTGGCTTAAAAACTGAGAACATCTGGTCAGAACGGATGGCTTAATGGGAACTTCTCTAGGGGTTCTGTGCAGGCCAGGCCCCCCAGGGGGCGCGGGCATTAAGAGACCCTCAGCCCCATCGGGAGAGGCGGCCCAGGCAGCATCCCCACGCAGGCCGCCAGACACACACCCCTCCCAACAGAGCGAGATGTGCAGCTGGGGAGTAGAAATGCCACTCTGGACTGTAAGCTCTCACCGCCACGCGGCCCCCAAAGCACAGAGCGGTTCTGTGCTGGGGCCACAGAGACCCGGTGCCAAGGGCGGGCCGTGAGCTCAGGCAGGTGCGGAGCCATTTCTGCGGGGTGCGGCAATCATGTCTACCCCGCTGGGGTGACCTGGGGGTACAGTGCAGCTCCTTACGTTGCCCTGGACAAGGTGGGGACTCCTGTACGTGGCAGGGGGTGGCACGTCGTGGGCGGTGCATCAGTGTCCCCTCCCTCCCACAGCCTCTTCCTCTCCCTGACACCCGTGGGAGTCCAGAGGGGGCCTTCCCTGGGAACGAGGGCACCAGAAGGAGAAAGGCCCGAGATCCGCCAGGGTTCAGGCCCCGTTCCGAAGCTGTCTGCACATGGAAACTTCCCCCAGAGTCCTTGGACTGCAGAGAGAAAAAGTTTTTTGTTTTTTTTTTTTCCATCATCCAGCTCTGGAGGCTCATTTGTGAGACAATAGCACCCCCTCTGGTCAGAAAGCAGTATTTCCTCTAGAACTTTCCCTGAGGTTTCAGAGCATCCGTGTGCAGAAAGGTTGGGCAAGGGCAGCCCCTCCCCCCTCCCCCCCCCCCCCCCCTGGAAGAGTGTGAGGCCTCCGCGGGCCTCTCCCCCTGCGGTCAGCACGGCCCTTTTCACCTCTGGAGCCCGGCGGCCGTTCCTGCTGAACACGGGCACACGGTGGGCAGAAGGGTCCGCGGCTGAAGAAGCCCACGACCCTGCCCACTCCTCCCCTGCCCCCCTCCGTGGCCAGGCTCCCTGGGGCCAGCCCTCACTTGACACCAGCCGGGTTTGGTTTGTTCTGGTCTCTTGCAGGACCCGGGGACTGATGGGAGCCCGCCTTGCACCGACATCTGCCCGGCACCCCCCACCCCCAACCCGGGAAACCTGTGTGTGGCTTGGTTTGAAAAATTCCAGAGAGGGGGTCTGTTTATTTGTCGAAGACTCCCCCCCACGAAGCCTGAAGAGAAGGGTGCGTCCATCCCTGTCATGGAGCTGCCTCAACGTCCTCAGGAGACAGGAGAGCATTTCCAGGGGTTTCCTGGATGGCCATTTAAGGAGGTTGGTGATGCGGCCTCTGCGGTGCTGGGCAGGGCGGGCCACCGTGCTGGGCCCCCGCCTCCATCTCCCTGGGGCCCAGAGGTAGCAGTCAGCCAGAAGAGCTGGGGGGCCCGGCCTGGGCTTGCTCCCCAGGTCTTGCCCCCCGGGCTCTGCAGGGCGGCTCGATGACAGTGCAGTCCCTACCCGGTTCCTCCAGCTCCCTGTGACCCCATCAGAGAGCCGCTCGCCTCACTGATTACGATTAAGTAACACCTTGGGTAACCATCCCAGGGCGAAGGGCAAATGGAGCCCCTGGAAGCGATAGCCTGAGTTTTGTAAATGACCGTGACGGCAATCTGGTCCCTCCTACACCACACAGGACCCGTTCGGCACACGCGTAGCAGTGGAGCCAGTAATCACCGCCAGGCAGCTAACATTTGCATCGCTGCCCGCGCCCTGGCCCGCGGCTCAACAGACCCCCGAGGCAGGGAGTAATACGGTTTGGAAAACGGAAGTTCAGAGAGGATGGGCAGTTTGTCACAGTCACACAGCGACTAGGATTTGAACTCAGGAAAGGGGCTCTTAGCCTCTATGCTTTAGTGATAATTGCTTTATTAAGTGGCTCATTGTGTTTCTAAACTACTATGTGAGATGGTCAATAGGCATTATCTTTCCTAATTATGGTGACAAGGAGGTTCTGTACCATTTTACAGGTACAGAAACTGAGGCCCAGGGAGGACTACCCAGCTAGACAGGGCAGACGTGGTCTCCAAAGGCTTGGCTAACCCTTCAACTTGTACTTCGCAGCCCCTGGACCCCTCTCAGAGAGGCCCTCCTCTCAGACTCTCCATCCTCCGTGGCTTGGGTTGGGTTTACCCTCCTCCCTTCCTGACCCGAGCAGTGAGCACACGGCTCAGCCTGGCCAAGCCGAGTGACAATAATCTGGCCAGCGACGGGCATGGCCTGGGAAAGTGGTATTCCGCTGGAGCTGCAGCCTCAGCCTCCGAATGGCTTTTCTGCGGGCCCCGAGAAGGAAGCCGAGGCCACCAGCCTCCCAGGTCAGGTGCCCCCCGATGGTTCTCAGCTGCTGGTATCCATGTCACACGCAGTCCCTGCTTGCCTGGGTGAAGCCGACCGGTGTTGGCAAGAGAAGATTGTGCAAAAGAGCAAGTGTGGCTTCTAGGTCACAGAAGACAGTGCAGCCTCCTCCTTGGTCACTAGCCCTGAGGCCATGTTGTGAGGACACACGAGCAGCTGCATGGAGAGGTCCCAGCCGGAGGCAAGGGCAGCCTCCTGCCCACAGCCACGGGGCACAGCTCTTCCAGCCCTCGGTCCCTCGGACCTCAAACATGACACTCTTTCTGGATCCCTGATCCACAAAAAATTGTGTGAGGTAATAGATGTTTATTGTTTTAGGCAGATATGTGTTGTAATTTGTTACCCAGTGGTAGGCTAGTAAATAAAGAAGCAAACTTGGGGCCCTGGGGGGCTCGGTCGGTTGAACGTCCGACTTTGGCTCAGGTCACGATCTAGTGGTTCATGGGTTCAAGCCCCGATTTGGGCTCTGTGCTGGCAGCTCAGATTCTGGAGCCTGCTTCTGATTCTCTGTCTCCCTCTCTCTTTGCCCCGGCTTGTGCTCGGTTTCTTGCTGTCTTTCAAAAATACATAAACATTAAACAAAAATTATTTTAAATATACAGAAGCAAACACAGAGGAGTGCAGCACAGAGAGATGGAGGATGTCACATTCCTTGTATTTGAACACCTAGATCCAGCCATGCCTGAAGCTGGGCCATTGGCTTTCTCAGTTAACGAGCCAACCAGTCCTCATTTTGCTCAAGCCAGTGTGACTTGGATCTCCTTGTAAAAGAAGAGCCCTCATCAACACAGAGACTTTAACAAAAATATACGTACCAAGAACCCCACAGTGGTCTTCTGGGCTAAGGGGCTGCCTGGGCCCATCTTTTTAAAAAGATTTTATTTTTAAGCAGTCTCTATACCCAACATGGGGCTCGAACTCACAACCTCAAGGTCAAGAGTCCCATAGTCTGCTGACCCCTTCTTGGCCTTCTCTTCTGCGAAGGGAGAGAAACCATCTATAGATACCCAGAATGCCAGCCGGAGAGCTGTATCCTCCCCTCCATCACTGAAGAGCCTTGCCCAGGCACATGGCGCTGGTCTGTGCCAGTGGGCTGTCACTCAGAGTCCTGGCTTCAGGGCCCGTGTGGCTGGAGATGCAGAAGCAGGAGGGGGCCTTGGGGCCAGCCCCACCCTTCAGGCCTCCAGGGACACCCCCCCACCCCCAGCACCAGCTGGAGCAGGGAGACTGAGGGGGCGTTTGTGACATCGCCAGATGAAACAATGACTAATGACCTTGCCAGGCCCTGGGGATGAGGGGCACAGCAGATGTTCCGTGATTGCAGGAAGCCGGGGCAGGGGGGCTCGGGGGCCCGTGGCTCTGAACCCATGGCAGGCCGGCCCAGCCTTGCGAAGCGTGGAGCCCTCCACGCTGGAGGCTAGAGAGGGAACAGGAAGAAGGCTGTGCACCCGCCGTCCGCAGAGGCCGCCATCTGCTCCCAGGAATGACACAGACTTGCTCTGTTGTGGCTCTTTTTCTTAAAAAGCAACAAAAAGTCATCTTTTCTTTTTTTTCTTAAATGAAGTGAATCATTTTTTAAGTCGCTGTATGTTAACTTCCGTTCGATCCCTCTGCAGCAGTTTATGTAGCCCATGTTGGAGGGCTGGGTCCTCAAAGTGCCTGTGTCCACGCCCAGGGTGCATGTGTCTGACGGAGGGGGGACCCCAAGGAAAATGCTGTTCCCCGGAGGTGGGGAAGGTGGACCCAGTGGCCAGGGATCCCCCCAACTTGGCCGCACCTTGGAATCGTGGGGGAGATGGAGGGTAACGATTGGCGTGGTCACCCGACGCTCTATTGGTCCCTGTGTGGGCCTGGGAACCTGCATTGTAGAATCTCCCCAGGTGATTCTAACGAGCCGCCAAGTTGGCGAGCGGCTGAGCGGCCTCGGAGAGTGCCTCGGGGACAAAGCCCTTACAAATCCTGCTATTATCCCAATCATCGTAATAGTAATTATTACTATTATCTCGGCTGAGAAAATTGAGGCTCAGACAAGTCAACTGGTCCAGCCAATCTGGGCTGAGCACAGGGCTTCTGTGATTCCGAATCCCCAGGCAAAGATGGAAGCTATTTCAACTTCGCCAAAGTAAGAAAATTGGTGTTATTTCGGTTCTAGCTCACAATCGGCAATCACTCTACATTTTTATTTTCAGGCAGCAGGAAGCTTGCAGGGCTTAAAGAATTGGGAGGTGACTTGAGATGCTTTCTCCCAGGAGTGTGCCCCAACTCCAGATTCTGGAGAGTTCAGGGGAGCCCCAGGGCATCCAGGCACAGTTGGGGCCAGAAGTTCTCACCCTCAGGGTACGGAGCCCTACCCTGGGCGCAGTTGCAGAGTCGTGACCCTGGAGAGAGGGAGTGAGGCCGGTACCCAGTGGAAGTCTAGTCTCCCAGAGAAATGACATCTGAGTCTTGAGGCCATTGGCAAGTTCTTGCCTAGAGAAGCAGCCTTGAACTTGTGCAGGAGCAGGGGAAGGGCAACATTGGGGCTCCTGGTGGTGACAGGGAGTCCCCTGATTCACGATTCAGGGCTGGGAGCTGATTTCTCATTTATCCATCTTCCTACAGCTTGACCTTTACCTGTGCCTGTGATTGGGCAGGAACCTGTTTCACCTGGAGCACTCATTTAAAGGCAGGTTGCGGCCCGCCTCAGGTTGCTAATTTAGAAGAGACTCTGCATTTCTCCCGTGGGCCCAGGGGCTGCTGATGCTACTGGTCCAGGACTCTGAACTGCTGTCCTAATTGGCATTCGCAACGGCCTTGAGCGCAAGAGAGAGACGGAAGAGGAGCGTGGGGCTCGGAGAGCAGAGGCTACTGCCCGAGGCCATGCAGCTAGACAATGGCAGACGCAGGACTGGAACCCAGGCCCAGTCGCTCCCGGAACCCACTAACCACAGCCAGGTACCCTGCTTCTCATTCGAGGCTTGTTCTCAGACAGGGGCCCTGAGTCAGGGCAGCCCCCGAGGCGGGGTCTCCAACCTGACTACGAATCCGTTGGGAAGCGTTGAGCGTTCTTGATGCCCCCAGGCCAATTCAGTCCAAGCCCAGGGGAGGCACCAGGGTGGCAGGAGGTCCCTAGGCTCCTGGGGACTTCACTGCGCGGCCAAGTCAGAGACCCTGGGCTTCAGGGGACCCTGAGCCACTTAGCAGCCAGGCTGGGCAGGACGGCAGCAGGAGCTATACGGGCAGCCAACCGCAGCCTAGCAGATGGCTATTCCTGGGATCGGCTGTCCCCTGCAGGGGCCCTGGGGAGGGCCAGGCCCCACAGTGACCAGAGTAACTAAGGAAAGTGACTTTCCCAGCTGGTGACAATGGGGGCAGACGCCTCACATAAAATATCGAGTGCCCGGGTAGATTTGACTTCCAATTAATAGCACATACTTATTTTTGCTATGTGTATGCCCCAAATACGGCGTCTGTATTTTTTACATGCCACATAAGGGCATCCTGTATTTTTATCTGCTAAATGCAGCGATTCTACACAGGACCCTACTCAGAAGGGGACCCCAGCCCCCAGCACAGCACCTGCACTAGGTAGACACTTCTGCACATCTGGGGACAGGAGTCAGGAGGAAGGGAATGAAGGAGTGAATCAATGAGTATTCGTTCATCTAGTCAAGCCCTAGGAGCAATGGCGTGTGGCGGGGAGGTTGATTCTCTGGCTTGAGGACGCAGGGTCTGCTCAGCAGGGCCGGGATGGGGTGAGGGGCCGGGATGGGATGCTCAGAGGGAGCCCCCAGGGTGCACACAGGAGGTGCTCACTCCTCAGCCTCTGTGCCTCAGGTTTGTTCCTCACTGGTTTTGGCCCTGCCGAATGGACGCATTTATTTCCAGCTTTCATCGAGGGGTGCAGCCTTGTGTTTCTTTGGAAAGAAACTTTGGGGAGGGGGGAGGGGATTCTGGGCGCTGGAGAGTGGAGACCCTCCCCTCCCCCCAGCCCCCCGCACAGAACATCTGGTCCACGTCTTGGTTTCCGCCTCCAGAGACCCCCCAAGCAGAGAGCCCAGAGCCCACCTGGACGTCTGCTCTCCAGAAACAGGAAAACAATAAGGTCACATTGTTTGAAGCTGCTACATTTGTGGTAATTTGCTATGGCGGCCATTGGAAATGAATACAGGCTTCAGACCTCCCAGCCAGGGAATGAGTGTTTTTTTAAAGAGATCATGAGAGTCCGGGCCCACTCGGATAATCCAGGACAACCGGTTTTAGAGTCGGAAACCGAAATCTCATCCATGCAGCCCCTCCTGTCGAATCACATGCCGGTCACAGGTGCCACAGAGGAGGGCGTGGCCGTCTTGGGGGCCATCTTGGGGGCCGTCCTGCTGACCGAAGACTCGCAGGGCCCAGTGCAGGGATTGTAGGCCACAGGACGATCAGAGATGTCTCCGCGCCTGCGTGCCCACCATCGCCCAGAGCGGCACACAGAACGTTCCGGAGCCCGGGCAGCCTCCCTGTGCCCTCACCTGCTCCTCCACACCCCCCCATCCCCAAAGGTACTCATTTTCTTCCTTTCTTTTTTTTTTTTTTTAATGTTTTTTAATGTTTATTCATTTCTGAGAGGGAGAGAGCAGGGAAGGGGCAGAGAATGAGGGAGACAGAATCCCAAGCAGGCTCCAGGCTCTGAACTGTCAGCACAGAGCCTGATGTGGGGCTCGAACCCACCAACCGTAAGATCATGAGCCGAAGTCGGATGCTTAACCGACTAAGCCACCCAGGCGTCCCTAAAAGTACCCATTTTCTGAACTGCATTTGCTGTTTCTGAAAATTTCTAAGAGGCGTCATACAGTATGAATGTTTCTTTATCTCTGGTTTCTTCCGCTTAACCTTATGTCCGTGAGATTTGTTGGTATAACATGATAATCCGTTGCACGAACAAAGTCTCATATGGCTGCAGTCGGTGGACGCTGGGGTGGCCACGGGTTCGGGGCTCTTGTGGACGCTGCAGACACGCCATCGTCTGTTACAAAGAGCCTGCGGTGGCTTCTACTGACAGGTTACATGAGCCGTACCATGTATGTGTGAGCGGTGAATGACCCAGCTGTCCAGAACGCTTTTTGTCTGATTGCTGGCATTCTAGTCTCTGTTTTGCTGGTCACTCACTGCATGGCCTTGGGCTGTCATATGACTCTCTTGCCTCAGTTTCCTTTCTTTACAAAGGATGGGGCTGGATTAGTCATAAGTACATGATAAATATTGGCTATAATTGTTATAAACCCGGCAGCATAACAGAATTGAAAATATAGGGAGAATTGAAAACGGGGAAATACCAGGGTAGGGACATAGGGTGGGTGCCCACGAGTGAGTCCCGTGTGTGAAACACCCACCCCGGAGCCCACACACTCCCGAGAAGAGGGCAGGGAGGCTACAATGTCAGTTCACAGCCTCGGCACCCGGGGAAGCTTGCCTGAGTCAAGGGAGAGCAAGGTGGAGTAAGTGGGTGCTCCTGAACCGTCCCCACGTGCAAAGATTTGAAGGGAAATATGGTCTTTATTTTTTAACTCCAGTGTAATTAACATACCGTGTACAATATAGGGAGTCAACAAGTCTACACATGACCCCGCACTCATCACGATGAAGCTCCTCTCCATCCCCATCACCTCTTTCCCCTTCCTCCCCCCGCCTCCCCTCCGGTGCCCACCACTGCGTTCTCTTTATTTAAGAGTCTGGTTTTTTGTCTTCTTTTTTCTTTGCTCATTTGTTTTGTTTTTTAAATTCCACATATGAGTGAAATCATGTGGTATTTGTCTTTGACTTATTTCTCTTAGCATAATACCCTCTAGATCCACCCATGTTTTCTTAAATAGCAGGATTTCATTATTTTTATGGCTGAGTAATATTCCATTGTAAATATATACACCACATCTTCTTTATCCATTCATCTATCAATGGACACTTGGGCTGCTTCCATATCTTGGCTATTGTAAACAATGCTGATATAAGCATAGGGGTGCGTGTATCTTTTAGAATCAGTGTCTTCGTATTCTTTGGGTAAATGTCCAGGACTGGAATTGCTGGATCACATGATAGTTCTATCTTTAATATTTTCAGGACCCTCCACACTGTTTTCCACAGCGGCTGCGCCAGTTTGCATTGCTACCAACAGTGCATGAGGGTTCCTTTCTCTCCGCATCCTCACCGACACCTGTGGTTACTTGTTTTGAGTCTCACCATTCTGACAGGTGTGGGGTGACATCTCATTGTGGTTTTGGTTTGCATTTCCCTGACGATGAGTGATGCTGAGCATCTTTCCAATGTGTCTGTTGGCGATCTGTATGTCTTCTTTGGAGAAATGTCTGTTCATGACTTCTGCCCATTTTTAAATTGGGTTATTTGTTTCTTGAATGTTGAGTTGTACAAGCTCTTTACATACTTTGGATACTAACCCTTTATCAGATATATCATTTGCAAATATCTTCCCCTATTCAGTGGGTTGTCTTTTAGTTTTGTTGGTTGTTTCCTTTGCTGTGCAGAAGGTTTTTATTTTGATGAAGTCCCAATAGCTTATTTTTGCTTTTGTTTTCCTTCCCTCAGGAGACATATCTAGAAAGATGTTTCTGCAGCTGATGTCAGATAAATTACTGCCTCTGCTCTCTTCTAGGATTTTTATGGTTTTGGTCTCATATTTAGCTCCTTAATCCATTTTGAGTTTATTTTTGTGTGTGGTGTAAGAAAGTGGCTCAATTTCTTTCTTCTGCATGTTGCTGTCCAGTTTTCTCAGCACTGTTTGTTGAAAAGACTGTCTTTCCCCATTGTATATGCTTGCCTCCTTTATTGAAGATAACTCACCACATAAACATGGGTTATTTCTGAGCTCCCTATTCTATTCCATTGACATTTTTGTGCCAGCGCCATACTGTTTGGATTATTGCAGCTTTGTAGTATATCTTGAAATCTGAGATTATGATACCCACAGTTTAGTTCTTCTTTTCAAGACTTCTTTGGCTATTTGGAGTCTTTTGTGATTCCACACAAATTTTAGGATGATCTGTGCTAGTTCTGTGAAGAGTACTGTTGGTATTTTGATAGGGAGTGTATTAAATATGATTTTTATTTTTAAGGTTTTTTAAAAATGTTTATTTATATTTGACAGAGAGGGAGAGAGAGAGAGAGACAGAGTGTGAACAGGGGAGGGCAGAGAGAGGACAACGCAAAATTTGAAGCAGGGTCCAGGCTCCAAGCTGTTAGCACAGAGCCCGACGCAGGGATTGAACTCAGGGGATGTCTTAGATCATGACCTGAGCCACCGTCGGATGTTTAGTTGACTGAGCCACCCAGCGCCTCTGATTTTTATTTTTAAACCAAAACGTACAAAGTTTGAAGTAGACTGAAAAATCACTTGCATTCCTAACCTAAAAGAAGGAACTTCGGCAACATCTGGTATTTGCTCACCCATCTCCACCCTGGGGGGAAGTGGCCATGCCAGCTGCATGGCTTCTGGTGACCACTAGAGGGCAATACCATGAGTTCCAAGATTCTTATGGCCCCAAAGGAAAAAACCCAACCAGGGTCACTCATGCCTTTTGTCCCCCATTGTGACTCAAGCTGCTATTGCCTGATTACCCTGTGAGGCTGCCCAGGCTGTGCGGGTCCCCGCTGGGCTTCCCTTCCCGGTTTGCCTCCCTTCTGACCCCCAGCGTATTTGGTGGCACCACGCCCCCAGGAAAGTCCACCAGAGATGCTAGCTTGTGCCTCGCCTCCCGGTGCACCCCCGTGTCTGTCCAAGGGGTGGGGGGGTCAGTGTGGATGGGAATGTGTCTCCCGGCTGCAGGGGTGGCTCCAGGACGCCCACCCGCTCACACTGCACCCCCAGGGCGAGTATAGGGTAAAGCAAGGGAGAGAGGGGAACTGGGAGGGAGAGGGGGTCTGAGTAGGGGCTTCAGACGCTGGTCTGTGTCCTGCCAGGTGTTAGGGTCACACGAAGGTCTGGAGGGCACTGGGCGAATGCGCTCAGGAAAGGGATGCTGTGGAGTGTGTGTGTGTGTGTGCGCAGTGTCCACAAGAGCTCAGCAGTAGTGGCTGGAATGAGGGCTCTGTGATGGTGGCCCTGGCTGCCCAGCAAGTGAGCAGAGCCCTGGATGAGCTGTGGGATCCTGCGTTAAGCCCGTCTCCTGGGGCCTCTGTGTCCTCTGGGATGTCAGAGTGACAGCCCCCCACAGTGGCAGGAGGAGGGGGTGTGAGCCAGCGCCTGGCACAGAATAGGCACTCCGTAAATGGGAGCTAATTCCAATCAGACATCCATTGTTAGGTACGTGTGCACACTCCGCTCCTCCCGCAGAGCACTCACAATGGCACGCTGGCCGGAGCAGTGGGCGGTCTGGAGTGGGTAGGGGAGTGGACGCGAACCCCACGCTGGCCCTGGAGCGGGTGCAGCGGGGGGCATGGGACATGCGTGGGGCTCTAAGACCCGGGGGTCCTGGCCCAGTGTACGGGTCTACGTGAAGACAAACCCGGGGCCTCTTTTAACTTAAATATTTGAAAATGAAAAACACAATTACTTTTATATTTTACAAAATGTCACTGCATTAGAAAGCAAAAGATAAAATTCTCATGAATTTTAATAGACAGACAAAGCCCAAGCATTCCGAGTAGC